GGGGGGGGGGGGGGCGTCGGGGAAGTGCGTGCGGAGTGTGTGGTGGAGCGTTGTAGAGGGAGCGAGTCTGCGCCTCGATGGAGTAGACGTGGTCGAAGGAGTTGTCCGGGAAGGGGAGCTTGTGGAAGTCAGCCTTGACGAGCTTGCAGCGCGGCGCGAGGCCGGCCTTGGTGCAGAGGCCGTTGCCGCGGTCGACCTGCGGCGGCGGTGGGGAGGGGTCGGGACGGGCGAGGGAGGCGGGGCGAGAGGGTGAGAGGGCGAGAGGGTGAGAGGGTGAGAGGGCGAGAGGGTGAGAGGGCGAGAGGAGAGGAGGAACAGCGGAGCAGAGGAGGGAGACGGGGAGGTCGTCCTCGCCTGGTACTGGTTGAGAGTCACTCCGGTGATCGACGCGCCTACCGGAAGGTTCCGGCAAGGTTCCGAGAAGGGTCCTGCCTCTCGAGAGACTCTGTGCGGCGGGTGCGCCAGTGAAGCGGCCGAGGTTGCGGAGAGGGCCGCCGATGCCACAGCCGCAGTCGAGCACGCTGTCGCTCGGCTGGATGCCTAGCCGCGCGGCCAGGTAGTACTCGTGTCTGCGGCGGGCGGGAGACGCGCGGGCCGTCGGCGCCGGCAGCGCAGCGCGTGCGCGTGGCTGAGCGGGCGGCGGCGGCGCTAGCCAGCAGCGAGCGGGGCGCGCACCGCGTGATGGACTCGTTGAAGGTCTCGCCCGCAAACTTGTTTGCAAAGTGGAAGGACTGGCCCCACCCGATCTCGTAGAAGTCGGTCGCAAGGTTGTAGTACGTGTTGACGAGGTCGGCGTACCCTTCCTTGCGCGCCTGCAGAGAGCAGCCGGCGCCGTCAGCGGGAGGCGGAGGCGGAGAGAGAGAAGAAGCGGCCCCGGCACGGCTGCAGAAGAAACGACCGATCACAGAGCGCCAGCTCAAGGCGGCGAGCCTCGCGGGAAGGGGTGGTGGTGGAGCGCGGGAGGCGCACGCCTCGGCGTCGCCGCCGTGGAGGTCGTGCTGGTTGTTGTACCGGTCGATGTCGGACCCGACCTGGCAGAGGCGGTGCGGCGGAGGTGTGGATACCGCGCAGCGGGTAGCGGAGGCGTGCGAGCAGCAACACACGCGCCTTGATACCCTGCTTCGCCTCCTGCTTGCTCGCGGCTCCCATGAACTGGCGAACCTTGCCCGCGGTGGTCTGCTGCAAGGTGGACGACCTGTGCATGCGGGGCGCGCTGCGGCGTATGGCGACGGCGCGGGGAGGCGGCGCACGGGGGGGGCGGGAGGCACATCGGGGGGGAAGAGCGGAAGAAGGAGGTGAAGCAAGCCCGAAGAGCGTCTTGCTTCGATGCGAGCAAAAGAGAATTCCCGCAAGAGTTTATATCCGCGCCCCGCAGCAAAAGAATTCCTTGACGACACAATTCGTTTTAGCCTAGAGCGGGGTTCGACGGTGGTACTCCCAGAGCCAGACGGACGGACGAAAAGAGACCTCGAGAGCGAGAGACACGCGGCACCACATCGTACGACGGACGGACTTGACGGCGGCCGCGCAGCCCGCCCGACCGGGTCGTCGGCGGCCCAGGGCGCGAGCATGCGGTCGGCGCTGCATGTGAGGCTGTGTGCGCGGCTGGCGCGTATGTTTCCGTGCGATGAGGGCGCGTATGTGTTAACGCTGCGGGCGCGGGCGGGCGCGGGCGGGCGCGGAGGGCGGCGCGGTCTCACCGCGGTCCGACGCCCGTTGGTCTTCGGCGTGGCGAGGGCGGGCGCGCAGAGAGGCCTTGCCGCCATCGCGTTGCCGCGAAGGAAAAAGAATCTACCCAGCTAGGGTTAGGGTTAGGGTTAGGGTTAGGGTTAGGGTTAGGGTTAGGGCTGTTGGCTGTTGGCTGTTGGCTGTTGGCTGTTGGCTGTGGGCTGTTGGCTGTTGGCTGTGGGCTGTTGGCTGTGGGCTGTTGGCTGTGGGAGGTGGGAGGTGGGAGGTTGGCTGTGGGAGGTTGGCTGTGGGAGGTTGGAGGTGGGAGGTGGGAGGTGGGAGGTTGGCTGTAGGAGGTTGGAGGTGGGAGGTTGGAGGAAGGCGGTTGGAGGAAGGCGGTTGGCGATGGGCTGTGGGCGATCAAAGGCAAAACGGCATCAAAGGACTTTGCGCCAGCCAAGCACCTGCGGTTGAGAGATCATGTGTACAAGGCACACATGCAACAGGGCCTTAAAACCAGAGCAAAAAGTCAACGCCGCCATCTGCACTCCGGCTGGCTCTCAGCAGCGACTGTCTGGCCGCACGATAAGAGCTCTGAAGGCCGTAAAAAGCGTTTTCTATCACCGCAAGACGTGGCCACATTGTTGTACACTATGATGCCCTTGTTCATCTAGCAGGAGAGCGACAGCCAAGGGTAGCTCGACCCAAATTGACGCGATAGTTGCGAACAGTGTTCGCGAACAGTGTTCGGCGCGAACACGCCCGTTCCCCCCCCGGCCCGACTTCGAAGCACGACATGTACCCAAACACAACCTAGCGCGATGCATAGTGGCGTGCCAGGTCCCAGCAAGCTTCAATAGCTAAAGAATGAGCTAGGGTTAGGGTTAGGGTTAGGGTTAGGGTTAGGGTTAGGGTTAGGGTTAGGGTTAGGGTTAGGGTTAGGGTTAGGGTTAGGGTTAGGGTTAGGGTTAGGGTTAGGGTTAGGGTTAGGGTTAGGGTTAGGGTTAGGGTTAGGGTTAGGGTTAGGGTTAGGGTTAGGGTTAGGGTTAGGGTTAGGGTTAGGGTTAGGGTTAGGGTTAGGGTTAGGGTTAGGGTTAGGGTTAGGGTTAGGGTTAGGGTTAGGGTTAGGGTTAGGGTTAGGGTTAGGGTTAGGGTTAGGGTTAGGGTTAGGGTTAGGGTTAGGGTTAGGGTTAGGGTTAGGGTTAGGGTTAGGGTTAGGGTTAGGGTTAGGGTTAGGGTTAGGGTTAGGGTTAGGGTTAGGGTTAGGGTTAGGGTTAGGGTTAGGGTTAGGGTTAGGGTTAGGGTTAGGGTTAGGGTTAGGGTTAGGGTTAGGGTTAGGGTTAGGGTTAGGGTTAGGGTTAGGGTTAGGGTTAGGGTTAGGGTTAGGGTTAGGGTTAGGGTTAGGGTTAGGGTTAGGGTTAGGGTTAGGGTTAGGGTTAGGGTTAGGGTTAGGGTTAGGGTTAGGGTTAGGGTTAGGGTTAGGGTTAGGGTTAGGGTTAGGGTTAGGGTTAGGGTTAGGGTTAGGGTTAGGGTTAGGGTTAGGGTTAGGGTTAGGGTTAGGGTTAGGGTTAGGGTTAGGGTTAGGGTTAGGGTTAGGGTTAGGGTTAGGGTTAGGGTTAGGGTTAGGGTTAGGGTTAGGGTTAGGGTGTAG